GCTAGAGTAGATAGACCAATTTGTCGATTAAGACAGCTCACTTTCTGCCTCGCTCTGATTCCTTAATCTCTATCGCGCTTCACCAGGCTATCCTGCTTCAATTTTCCAGTTTATAATTGTAAACGCCTGATAAGATTTATCGAAAAGAGTGCTTTTCGCAACCTTGTGTTTTATCAATTCCATGGGTATAATTGTCGAGTTTATATGGTTTGCAAAGCCTAAGCCTTCCAACCTGTGTCATACCACTGTTTTATTTTAAATTTGTCCTATAAATGTAGTATCCAGTCGCCTAAGCATATGAACCGTCAGCGGAGTCTTGACTTCGATTTTCCTTTTGTATTGGAGCGGCACGAAATAAGATCCGACGTTTAACAGTAAAACAGCCTCTTTTAGAGATCTACCGAACGTCCTACAGGACTTGTTAAGCCTAGGCTTGTTTACCTGTATTATACCGTTGTTCATTTGCTTCAGCCCAGTTGTCGCGTGCAACTAACAGTTTCGTGGTACATAATAGATACCGACGCAAACCTTCACATTCCAAGTTGAGGACACCGTAGCTTTCAACATAACCCATCAATGCGACGGTAATGTCTGCTTCCATAAACCTTGCGTGCACAATGTGTAACGTTAGGGGGCAATAATTAGCGAGTTCAGACTTATTTTCTCCTCGGTGAATAGAGGTGATGAAACCTCGTATCGATTTTGATGGGACCATGTTCTTTTCTAGGCTATATTGTTCAGCGATTCTGTCGGGTTAGATGTGTTACGTGTAGTGCTTTTGGGGAACGATCATTGTCTCCAAGGGCACCATGCGTGCACAAATATACTAGCTTCCTAAGCCCCGCCTCTGGCATTAAGTGACCACACCTTTCTTATTGCTAACATGGAGCTGTCACTACACTAACCACACGTACTGCAACCAGATTACAACTACTGGAAGACGGCCTGACTCGAGCCGCGAACCAAGTGAATTGGTTTCTGCGTCCCACTTCATCTGCTGAAGCATGCTGATCAGTTATAAAGAAGTGAGTAGACTCCTTGTGTAACCAATCTGCCCCTTTCAGATGTCGAAAGTCGGACCGATTAAGCCACATTTGTGCGGCAAGGAATATGGTAAGCTGCCTCGACAGCGGCGCAGGCTGTGGGACTTATTCCTTATCTCTGACTCAGTCGACGGTTATTAGGTGTATAAAATGCAGAGGAATATCTGTAACTGTGAAAATGTACAAGCGAAGGCATTTCGAAGAGCAGATTCCAACCACAGCAAAACCGCCGCGAAGAAAGTCTTTGCGTATGTGAAACAGCGCCAAAGGCCGGCAGGTAACCTATCAGTGATAGCGGACGCAAACGGACAGCCCCTAGCCACTAGCACCGAGCGGGCGTCCGCCTTGGCGGCGCAGTTTGCTTCTGTGTTTTCAAATGGCCAGGAGTCTGTAACGAGTTCCGCGTACATCACTCTTACTGTACTCGAGATGCTGGATTGTGGCGTGGAAGAGGTGCGTCAACTACTAGACAACCTTGAAGGGCACCATCCCTGCCGGGCCTGACGGTTTCCACTTACTGATGCTCAGGTCTTTCTCGGGCATTATACCGCCTGCGGTAACCGACCTGTTCAACAGGTCTATGTCCGAAGGTTCGTTGCCGATTACTTAAAAATGCTCGGTGGCATGTGCAATTCCGAAAGACAGTGACCCCAGCAGAGCAGATAACTACAGGCTAATTTCTTTGATACATATTTTTGTTATATTTGCAGATAAGATTGTGAAGATGAGTTTGCTATAGCTGTTCCGGTCAAAAGATCTCCTGACGCCCGCACAGCACAGTTTTATGCCACGTCGTTCATGCATTACCAGCCTGCTCGTGATGAAGCATGAAAGGTTGCAAGCAGTGAAGCAAGGGAAGTCTGTCGACGTTATCTACATGGATTTCTGCAAAGGGTGAACCATGAGCCCTTCTCCTCAGGCTGTTGGTGCGCGGTGTTGGTGGATTTCTACACCAGTGGATTAAGGACTTTCAAGTAGAACAAAATTGGGGTTAAAGTCGATAGCCACCTGGCCGACTAGTATCCTTCGGACAATGACGTACCACACGACACTCCGCTGGGGCCTGGATCGCACCTGATTAATATAAACGACCTACCTCAGCTTCTTCGGTCAGCGAGTGCCCTGGTTGCAGACGATCTAAAGATGTCGAGAGTGATAAGCACATCCGACGGATGCGGCTTACTTCAATGATACATAAACCTCCTTTCCATGTTGTCTGCAGAAATCCGCCTCCCGGATAATCCATCCAAGTCGGTATGAACACTGAACAATGATTTACCACGGGTAAAAATCATGTATTTGACAAATCCCATAGGATGGTTAGAGTGAAAAATAAAATTTAAAAGAACATCGAGTAAGTGAACCGTTATATTAAGAGTCTACCGATTTAAATGCACTACTGCATAACGATAGTTTGAAATGGGAACGGGATGTACATACACAAAGTAGTGTAAAGTGTCGTTGTAGTTCAGTTAGAGCGTGAGAAAAAAGAGAAGGAAACGACAACGCTCACTCATATATTGCTTCACTTGACAGAGGTGGTATGTTAACCCAGTTTAGATACGTCTAGACTACTCACATGGACACTTCTGCATGTATCCTCACCGCCACATTGCGGAGGGGGCTGTTAAGTGCATGGTTAGGTGTGCGTTCTTTCCTCTTCCAAGTGGAACGGACTATATCAAATAATGCACCTTGGAAGGCGTTTCATCAAGACGTTTTTAAATAGCGTTAATGTAGGAACAAGGATAACGTGATTCGGAAGGGCATTCCAGGCACGTGACACAAGGAGGGAGAAAACGCTTCGTCGACAATCAAGCAAACTGTAGTGCGTAGCCAGTTTGAGCTGATTGCCACTCAGGTTGGTATTTTGGCTCAGCTGCAACAGATTGCGACATGGGTGAGTTGGGTTCGTCCGTATTATGTAAACTATACTTAGGTCTCCTCTTTGACGTCGATATTCACCACTGTACAATCTCAGGGACTGCAGTCTGCGTTGGTAGGTGAGATTAAACCATTCGCTAACGAGTTTGGTCGCTCTACCTTGTGAAACTTCAAGTGCATAGACATCGCGCTTGTACCAGGGACGCCAGGTCTGGATCGCATATTAAACGGGAGGCCTCAGGTAGGCGTTCAGCATTCGCGGAAACCTTGATGGCTCAAAATCCTCTAAAACCATCCGTAAGAGTCCAAGATGTTGGCTGGCTCTTTTTGATACATATACTCGCTACCGCTGAAGCAGTATGCATCAAGTTGACAAAACCAAACCTATGCATTCAGATGCAACATGTACAAGCCTTACAACTACCCTGGCCAGCCAGTAATAGAGATGAATCGGACTTCACTCATTGGTATCACATGCCTTCAGTCACCTGACCACCTGGCACGTTACGTTAAGCACTTAAAATGTTTTGTTCAATCAATAGTTACTCTTTGTTTCCCCTATGAACTCCGCTTCTCAACGTATACTTCTGTACAAAGCCTGATGATGAATAAATCGAAAACAATTGTTCGCTTTAAGCGTACCGCTTGCGTTTCTTCTTGCAATATATGATACGTTTATGGCCTGTCTCGAGCAACCAAGATCGTACTGCACGATCACCCGGAGGTCGTTTTCTTGGGAAACACGTTGTAACGGAAGCTCCCCAGATCGATATTTATAGCTAAGCTGCTGGCGTGTTTATGAGTCTGGGGTAGGTTGGTGACGCCCGAATCTACATTCTCGGCGGTTAACTGCTACATCCCACACCTCCTGTGAAGGACCTAGGAGTATCCTCAGGTTGAGTCTTGAATCCCGTTGACAACGTGAATAGGCTATATAATAACGGATTGCAATGCTCTGGGAACTCAAACGCAATTGCTGCATCTGTTCTGAAGTAGTTACCCCTCGCCTCTTCTCGTCCATCATCTGACTAATTCTAGAGTACTACCAGTCCGCCTATTGCTCGACCACTTGCCACGAGGCGCAGAAGCTTGAGCGGGTTCAACGCTTTGTTGCAAGGCTCAGCCGTAGAGTGTGTGGCTTACCGTACGGGGGCAGGTGGGAGAGGCTGGAACTGTACACCCTGACGTATTGTCGGTTGCGAGTCGACTTCATTATGACTTGCCGAATCCTACATGTAGGCGGCTTGCCCATGCTGAAGCCACTGCTCTATTTGCGAACTCCTTGCAACACACGCAGACACCAATACAAGCATGTGGTTTAAAATCTGAAGTACGTTCCTCTTGGCCTATGCCTGGAACGGTTTGCCGGTATATATGCTGGAAGCGAACTAAGTGAAGTAGTTCGAATGGTCCTTAGATGTGCATTTCGCAAACGTTAGATTTCACGAACGATTACTCACAGATCTCTCACATTTTGAGTCCTTATCTAATGTGAGTTAAACGATATTTTTAGGCATATCAAGTGCGACCGTGAAAGATGATCAGAATATTGGCAAGTCAGTGACTTTTTTTAAACCTTTTTGACCATTTTCGATGAAGTTGTACAGATTCAAATTTCTAATGGCTCATAATACAGTATTCCTCATCCATTCAGTAAATGCATTTACACAAAATTGATGGAACGTCATTCTAATGGGACGTCAAAGGAGTAGTGGCACGTACTTTAAATCCGCTACTGCTTAGGGGGACTACAGTCACACTATTCATGCGTCCTAAATCTATTATCTATTATCTATCATGTTAATGAACTGGGAATATCCGCTTTGCTGAGGACCAGCATTACCCGTGATACTTTGAAATCTATTGCTTACCATTTTCATCTATACTGTATCTCGCTAGCTCTACTCTTGTCTCTAGTGTATTGATCCGTAATGGTTTACTGACAACCTGACGATCTGATTCGACTGACAGTGAACGAGCGCATTGGTTTACCGTGAGTGGTGAAATGTAAACACCGGTATCAGCCTCTATCACGCTGTCTTCATAGAACACACTGTTAAAATGCACTGTTACATGGGTGTCCATCTCTGCCGTTTGTACGTACTGTGGATTAAGTGGCTGCTTCTGTTTGAAGCATATTCGATCAAACAAACTACGGCACTTGTCTCGCAGCACTTGCCATTTTCTTGGTTCAATAGCAAGCAGCTTGTGCATTCTCAGAGCCTGTTTGAGGGAAAATCAACCCCTTCAGGTGAGTCACGCTTAAGAACGGGATTGTACGATTGTAGCAAGACAGACGATTTGTACCCTTATACATTTAATTTTGGAGTCTGCCTTAGCAGGCTTATAACCACTGAACTCTAAGTTGATCTAAGAGCACCCACTGACCGGAATCCATGTTCTGTATCTGACCATGAAACAATGGCTTAAAATTTGCGGGGCGCAAATGAAAGAATCAAGCCAAAATAGAGGTTGTTGTGAATGAATGACACTCATTTGTGGACCAACCCTAAGGTCTACGTATTCACGCACTTCAACCAAGATGAGATGAGTCCCAGTGACTTTGGTTAGTTCAAGCAATATATGTGAAATATCGTATTATCGGGTCCCTTTTTAAGTTGACTGGTTTATGAGTAGAAATAAGGGTACCCGGAAGAGCTTTATACAACTACATACACAGATGGAACTGTGGCGGCGAAATTTCAACTGGCTGTAACGTGTGGCCAGATTTAAATGGTTGCGTCTCATTGAGATGTCGTGGTTTCAATAAATGACGAAATGCGTGCTTGGAATTGTTGAGGATTGGCTGCACAAATAAAAGATCATCCAGCAGGTAACGGTAGCGTCCGTTGAAAATCCATAGGACTTTCAACCCAGCCAGGCAAAATAGACGGAGAAATTTATTTATACACGGTTGGTCCGGAAAGTAATTGGATTGATGGTGACAATGCATTACTGACAACGTGGCTTACATTTAAAAATCTTCAGAGTAGGACTCTTGTGAATTCCCTCAGCTTTGCCAACGTTCGTTCTATTAGTTGTACGTAACCTGAAACTCCTTCTCTGGGATACTGCGAAGGTAATTCGTTGTGGCCACTTGAATGGTTGGGACAGTCTGAAAATGGCGTCCTTTCATGACCCTCCTTAACCAGAGGAAGAGAAAAATGCACTGAAATAGGTCTGGGCTGTACACAGGCTGTGATAAGGCTGGAGTTTGTTTGTTGGTCAGAAACTCCCTGATCGCCAAGGCAGTATGGCTCGACGCGTTGTTAGTGGTGGATGATCTAGCTCTCGGCAATCTCAGGACGGACGTGATTGATCCGTCTACGAAGTCATTTTGGTACTTCGACGTAAAGCTGTGCATTTGCAGCTTGTCCAGGAGAAACCATCTCAGAGTGGATGACTCTTTCGAATCATGGAACACAATGGGTATTGTTTTGATTTTTAGTTTGCTCTTGCCGGATGGGGTGGTCCTTTCCGGTGCTACTGGGAGATTGAGAAATTGTCACACTGTCTGCTTTGTTTTGTCTGCTAACACTTTTAGCACCAACTTTGCACATACTTGTCGCATGTCCAATACTTTAACAAGATTTCATAAACTTGCGTTTTTGGCAAGTTTAGTACCTTCGCGGTTGGTCGCATACTGTTACGTTGATCGCTGTGCAAACTGTCCCGCACCAGCTCCACCATTTACTTTGCTCTGGTGATTGTAGGTCGATCCACCCTTCTCGTCCTCAACATCTCTCCGTTCCTTGCAGGACTTATACCACTTAAACGCCATCAATCGGCGCAAAACCCCCTAGCCGTATGCTGGCTTTAACATTTCCAACGTATCTGTCCCGAATTTTCCGAGTTTGAAGCAAAATTTAATTTGCCTAACGCTGTTCGACGAAATATTCCAATTTTTCACGACACTTCACTTATACAGGGGTTCACTACTTCTACCATCTGCGCGCTCCAACCACTTAGTGACAACCTGAACCGGTTGCAACGCGTGGTTAACACCCCCATCACCCCAACCAATCAGATTTCCACACGCACGTCGAATGCACGAAACTACAACACTTGTCCAATGAATCTCAGGACAAACACAGTAGTTTTAAATTACCTTCTGAATTCTAGAGCGTATATCATGATATTGGCACGCTTGCCATACCATGAAGTCGTATGCTGTACGCTGCCTCACGAAAATGTGGAGCACTTGTCAAATGACAGTGCGATAGATCCGGCCAACTGTTCTTCGCAAGAGATCTGATTGCTCACTGGCTTTTCTGGCTAGTCTTTATGTTCGTACAAGAGATCCACCGTTAAGAGGTGATTACAGCTCTACCCACTTGTTGGAAACAAACATCGGGATTGATTGCTTGAACTTATGAATGTGCAACTGGGAAGTTTAACGTAGCAGTGATGGGGTTCAAGGAAAGCCGTCTACATTAACCTTTGAATCTCACATAAAACAGAAATCAGTAGCTCAAATGTCGGCCTCTCATATCACGTCCGAAGTCTACGCTGGCCATTGTTTGAGCTCGATAAATATATCGTGTGACCCGAACAAACTGATCAGCTGCTAAATTTCTGAGGAATTAGAGCTATCCAATTGGTCAGTGGACAAACAACAAACCATGGGGCTTGGTCATAAAGGTATGGTGGGCGTTCCCGCATCAGTGTATCCGTCCCAAGATGTGTTCGGATGTCACCGATATCCGATCCCATTTGTAGCTAATAGGAACTATGCTGCTTGTGGTGCTTGAATTAACCCCATTGGGCCTCCACCGCATACGGAATTGATCTGTGGCTCAGATAAACGTAAGCAGATAGAACTCAGCCATGGAAATGACCACTGCCCAATAACTCTTGCCAATAATCTATTTAATCAACAACCTATCATTGTCATGATGTATAGGACACAGCCAATCAAACCAGTGTCTACAAACAAAGTCCAAGAAGCCTTCTGTTTAACGTTTCCGCCCCCATGAGCTCCTGCGTCCACCAAGCTCTGTCCACACCCAAGTTCCTCGTGGCCGCACTTTAACTCGGCTATCGCTTTGCCCTTTGTGGCTACTCTAATTCTCCCCACAAAATATTGTGCGTGCGCTCGTTCAAACTAGTTCGACGAGCTTTACTCAGTGCTTCCCAACTCTTGGATTTAACCCGCGTGGATTATAATCTTGCTCCAGTTCCCAGTTTTCGGCATATTCTATGCCGAAGCTCACTTGTGTAACTACATCAAACCGGTTTTTTGGGAAAGATTTTGGTCTCATTCAGAAGAAGAAGTTGAGGGCTCCCCGACTACTCGGCAACCATCCCTGCAAGTTGCAACATAACCAAGGTGCAGCCTTTTTGCTCCGCTCCTCAACTGAGAAGCTCTACGGACGCTTATCAGCACTCCACCTGCATCGTCGCTTAAGACAGGCCGATTAACACACGCTGCCGATTTGTGTGTGTGTGTGTGTCCAACTGCGAGTCGATTGATCGCTGAACCCGACAGTCTGCGCGTTACGACCTCCATCTGTCTCTACCGCCTGACCTTGGTGCGGTTGAACAACTCACAATTCGTGGGCGTGTTCTGACCTATTCGTGCGTCACCCCTGGCGCAAATAACACTCATCAAGGTGAGCGCTTACATAAGCCTTGCTGTAAACAATAAGAGGACGACTAGCATTCCAATGGTACAACGTCGTCTATGTTGCGCAGACAATTGCAGTAAAGTTCTTAAGATCAGTGTTACCTGGTCTAGCTGCATTAGATCGTACTGTCCGCATTGTGTAGGCAAATCCGTCCAAGAAGTGAGACAGACAAACCAAGTTGATGACACAAGTTGGTTTTGCCCAACATGTCAAATCATTTCAATTGTCAAGTGTTTATCATTGCTTATGAAAAAGTGCGATAGGATGACTGAAATAATCGCGCATTTTGTAAATAGTAAGATCGATCCCACGGAGGTAAATATGGCAACGATAATACCTCACCCGGCCAAAGTGAGCTCCGAATCTAAGCCGAAGAAGAGAGCTAGAATCTCCAACCGCACTGCAGTGTCTGTGACTCTAAATCCACTGGGTCACCTCACTCCCATAATTGAACAAGCCTCAAACATGCCTGCTTCCACTTCTCCAACCATAGACGCTTCAGTTGGAAATTCAGCCACCGACAGCTCAGAGCCGAAGGCAATCCAGTGCAGATAACAAGCAGGTAACGTACGCATTGATTGCCTCGACAAACACACCGGAAGGGACACACATAGATCGATCTTCAGTACCGAGCACGCGTGGCGCAAAGCAGCTTTCACCGTCAACTCCAGTGGTGGCTTCTAAACAACTCGAATTGCCGGCAAAAGCTATAAAGCCAACACTCGCTAGACAACAACACGCTGCGTTAACTCTCGTGTGCACCAATGTTCCCGAATCCAAACCTGGCACAATAAAAGGCAAGTTGCAAGACGATCGCAACCAGTGGAGTTCTATCTGCGAGGAGATTGGTAGTCAGGTTGCGCCTGCAATGCTGCAACGCGTAGCGCGTAGCGCGTCACCCGACCTCATTGCGTTCTGGTGAACCTCAGATTCTTCGAGTAACACTAGACTAAGCAGATGAGACGGAGGCTGTCCGGCTCTCAGCAGTTCGTCTTCGCAACTCACCGAGTGGACTGCGCATGTTACCTGATCTATCTTGGAAAGATCACCCAAAAGAAGCAGTTGAACAACGGGGCATACCTAATAGGGATAGCAAGGAAACAATACTTGCACATGCTGTACTCGAGCTTCTGTATTCTTCTGCTCACGATGCGCAACCACATGACCGAGAGCAGTGGTGCTACATCCGCGAACCACTGTCTGTTGACAGTGTTATTGCCAAATCCCTGACAAGTGTTCCGTCATCACCTAACTACAAGGGCTGCGGACCAAGGTTAATGAAAGTAATACTACACTCCGAGGGAATGATGTAAGTTCTGTTGGATAGCTGGTTAAAGTTTCGAGCTATGTTTCCAACAGAGACCCGGCTAAACGCAGCACAGCGAACGGCCAAAAGTCGGGAGCAATTCGATGGAACTTGCAAACGCTACAAATTCCTTATATGCATGGTCCTGCGGAGGGACCGACAAAACAGCGCCCAAGGCACACAACAGGACAAAGCACAGCACGAGTGAAACGTCTGTTCAGGAACGCTCAACAATGCCATGCGACATGACCGAAATGCATAAACCAAACAACGATTACTGGCCGGACGCCTAACGACCGGCTTAAAAACGAATACAAA